CATCCCGTGGGCAAGAAAGCGTGCGCACCACAGGTTGAATGCTTGAGCCAAGCGGCGTCGGCAACGACGGCCCATGCATCCAGCTGCGCTTCTCACCCTGTCACAATGTCAAGCTCGAACACACACGCGCACACATACACACCCCTCGGCTGGTAAGCCGAACAGCAAGACGGGGAAATGCCAACTGCAAGGCTGACTAAACGAAACATACATGTTGCATGTAAATGCACAAACATGTCCGGTATCCTACCTAACAAACTGGGTGCGCAAGCAAGCGTTAGCTGCAGAGGCGCTACAGAAAATGGGTAAAACAAACAAGCATCGATGGCTTGGGCGTGCAAGCGCAGGGGCTTCCTAATACGCGATGCACTTCTCTTATCGACCGCACAATACGAAGTAACGCTCACGGCATTGAACATATCCATTATATCAGAAAACATCAGGAGTGGGAGAACATATGATGCCGCTGGTACCTGCCCAAGGCGCTCCTCGGTAGCGTGGAGACTCGGCCGCCTATGTTCCAAACATCGGCCGGCGTGCTATGTGTTGTTCAACCGCAACGCATCGCCACCCAGCACGGTCAGCACCGGTTTGGGAAAGTATTCGACAGACCGTGCAGACCAAGATGATACAAGACCTCTACACAGCTAGCACGCTCCTTACATCATCCAGGAACAGGGAACAGGGGAACGAAAGGACAACAACATAGGAAAGACGCAGACCAGGAACAACAACGAACATGAGAGAACAGCAGAAGAGGGACAACAACAAAAGGAAGAGGGAAAGAGAGAGAGAGAGAGAGAGCGAACGCACAAAGCGACGAGCGAGCTTCTATGCTGGCGTGCGCACAGCGCCATGCATTCTTCATCTGCCTCGAGCACAAGTGCGCAGTTCATTGCAATACAAACGCTCGGCTGCGGGAGGGAGCGTGCCCAGAGCAGTGCAAGCACGAAGAGAGAAGAGAGCAATATGTAACCACAGAGAGACACGCAGTAGCAAGCACCTGCAATACCTAAAATGACACGCCCAGCAGGCCTGCGAGCACGGATGGCACACACCAGTGCTGTACATCTGGGTGCGAAGCACGCGTCAGCGTCAAGATGATAGAGGGCGGCCGTGGAGGAGGCCACGCCCCGCCGACAACACCGTGCACGCCCGAGGCGGGCCCACGAGGATCCAGACGGCCCGCAGGGTCGGGCAGTGCCGGGCGAGGAAGCGGCCTGGGCCCACGTACAAGCAGTGCCAGAACACCAATTGGAAGAAGAGAGCGGGGGAGGGGAGGAGAGAGGCGGGGAGAGGGAGGAGGAAAGGTGGCAGCTAGACGCGCCCACAGTCATGTTGCCCGATGAATCTAACAGCGAACGCGGGCACTTGATTGATTGATTGCGCCGGCTGGTCCCACAAAGTTGTGGCGCGGTTCGGCACCGCGAGGCAGCCGAACGAGCCGGTGACGGCGAAGACGGCGACCGAGCGCGGCTCCGTCGCCGATGCTCTGGCCACCCCGCTGCAACTGCCGGAGCAGCACCAGCGCGCGCAGCGGCAGCGCCAGGGCGGGGCGGTGACGCACCCAGACCCCCGACGCCGTGATTTTTTCACAACGTCGACGCCCAGAGGTCTGGACCCTTTCCCCGGGACCGGTTTTGCATCCCGAGTCGTTTTTTGACGCTCCCGAGGCACGGTGAGCGGAGGCCGAAAATCAAGAAAAACCTCCCGCCGTGATTTTCTCCTTACTCGAGGGGGTCTGGGACGCAGGGCGCCGGCGACGAGGCGGCACAGGGAGCCGGTCCCCTGGGCGGCGGCGACGTCCGCGCTCCTCTCCTGCACTGGCAGCGTCAGCCCGGCGCACGCGGCGAGCGGCACCGGCGCGCGCAGCGGGCCGCCTGCCAACGCTGGCGCGCGCCGCAGGATCGCCCGGCTCAGGCGCCCGCTCGGGGCACCCGTCTCCTGCGCTGCAGGAGCCAAGCCCTGAGATCCGGCGCTCCCAAAAAATTGGGGCGGCGGGATCTGGGCAGTCTTCGGCCTCTTGGGGGCCCTCGCCGGGCCTCGAGGGCGTCGAAAAACGACTCGGGACGGAACACCGGCCCCGAGGAAGGGGTCGGGACCTCCCCAGACCCCCGACGTAATGATTTTTTCATTACGTCGACCCCCAGAGGTCTGGACCCTTTCCCCATGACCGGCTTCGCATCCTGAATCGTTTTTTGACGCTCCCGAGGCCCGGGGAGGGTCCCCGGAGGCCGAAAATTAGGAAAAACATCCCGTCATGATTTTTTCATTACTCGAGGGGGTCTGGGTCTGGGGTCCACGCGCCCAAAACATTGGAGCAGCCCGATGTCGGGGAAAGGGCTGCGGGCGCCAAGAGGCCTGACAGGCCACAGAAGCGTGCAGGCTGAGCTGCCGGGCCGGGCCGCCGCACCGCCGGGCCACCCCGCAGGGAGCCTCCCTCCTCCTCCTCCTCCTCCTCCTCTTCTCCTCCTCCTCCTCTTCTCCTCCTCTTCTCCTC